TGGGGCTCTTCTCCAATGTCCTGACAGCCTTTTCCTAATGTCCCATCTTCAAAAACATGAACCAAGGGAGGCTGTGCCATGTGGGCAGGCACTTTCTAACTTTCACTAGTTCATACTGTGAGACAGCTGTCTGCAGAAAGTCAGCCTGGAACACTGAAGAAAATGTCTTCAAAAAAGAGCCAGGGGAAAAAAAAATTGCTTCTCTTCTTCATTACTCATCAAAATCCATCCTGTGTGTGTGCCACTGCTGTGTGGGTTGGAAAAGGGAAACTGCATTCTCTTCATGTCAAACACTCTCTTCTTGAAAAAGGAAGGTAAGGTTATTTTCTATTGAATTTACTGAAAATTTGCACCCCAGATTCATTGTAGCAGCAAGGTACATCCACCTCTTTAATCTTGTGCAGGAGCAGGGCTAATTTGCCACGATGATTACTTTGCAGGTGGTTTGTTATAAAGGAAATGCTCCAGAAGTGCTCTGGAACTGCAGAGCTGCCTTACTCTGTGTGTGTCCTGTGGGCACTTCTTCCAGAACACACAATTCCTGCAGCACTTGCAGCTGGAATTTTCCCTCTCCCTGCAGAGTGGCAGAGAATTGTTTCATCCTCCCAATGACTAAATGCATTTTTGATGAATGCACAGCTTTTAGGTCCTGTTTATTTCCAGGTATGATGAACTCATTTTAAATTCATTTCGTTAAGCTGCAAAGCAAGGACAGGTATTTATCCCAGGCACTGAAATTAAATTTGGTTTTCTCTAAATCCCTCCTTTCAGTGATGTAGCTGTTGGGGTAAGTGAGCAGGGATGCTGGCCTGGAGCTGTCCCATGAGGTTCCCTCCAAGGCCACCTCCTGTCTTTCCTGGCTGACTCCCTGCCAGGTTAGGCACTGGAAATCCCTTGAAAACTCTCATTTTTTTCCAGCTGCCAGGAACTGTGGTGCTCTTCAAGGAAAACACAGGTGGTGTACTGGATTCCTCACACCAGCAGCTCTCCAGAGCTGGAATTTATTTTAAGCTTTGCTTATTTTTCGGGCAGTTCTTGCTCTTGTTGTCAGGCCCATGCTAAAGCAATTACTGTCTGTGAGGGTCACCTGGAGTTCAGTGTCACTGAGAAGCTTGGAGCAGGGCAGGGAATGGCAGGAACTGCTCAGCAGAGGGGCTGACACTGAAAGAAACAGAGCAGCTCCCTCCCTGCCTCCCTGCTTTATTATTTTTTTCCAAAATGAGAGAAGCAGGTTGAAGCCCTTTTCTTTCATGGCATCAAGCCATGCTGCCAAAAAACCCCTCCCCTGCTCCGAGCAGCCAAGTGCCCCCCAAAATGCAAACCCTGGCATGTGCTGGGGGCAGCTCCAGCCTCTCGTGCCTGACCCCTCAGGGGGATGGAAGCAGCCAAGGCGTCCCTGGGAGTCAGAGCAATCCAGCCAGACGAGATGTGCTGTGACACACAGTCCAGCAGGGATGGGCAGAGATGTGACAAAGAGCAAATGAGAGCCAAAGCAGGGAATAAACATGGCCATCCATCCAAGGGAACTCCTCCAATGTGCTCTCCTCCCCTCCTGGATCAGCTGCTCCTTCCCTGTCACTGCTGCAGGAGAGTGAGAGGAGTAGCAGATTTGTCTTTACAAACAAGCTGTGGATGTGCTGGTAGATAAAACTAGCACTGGGAGATAAAAGAAACAACAAGAAGGATTCTACTGATTAATGAATAGAAAAATATATTTGCTTTTACAAATAAACTTTAGGTTTTGCTGATAAATGAAATTAGACATTGAGAGATGAAAGAAACAATGGGGAGGAAACCCCCTAAATTCTATAAGAATTAAAAATTAAAAGGGCGGGTTATACATTAGAAGGAAATTTTTGGTAATAGGTGTATCAGGAAGTTTGTAACTTTCAAGTACCTCAGATAATGGGGAAAGAGAAAAGGGAAATACGGCTGGGAAATTGGGATAAAAAGGGAGCCTGTGTCCTCCAAAAATCTGAGAGATCCCAGGGGAATGCCCCATGGCCTCTCCCTTTATTCAAACCAAGTAAAAGGACACCTCTGCCTCCTTTCTAGACACTAACCTCTGATGTTAGTAAATTAAATTTCATAACAAGAGGGAACCTCTGCTGCCTCTTTGTAGCTTCAGTTCCATTTTCATGTTTGCTAACTTTCCTCCAGGAACACAGCTTTTGCACTTAGATGGCTTAAGAGGCTGATTTTGTTGCTCAGTCCCTCAGCTGGAGAGCCACTGTGTAATACAAGGCATTCCACGAGTGATCCAGGCTTCAGAGCACCTNCAGTCCCAGCTTAGTGAGAGATCATCCTTTTGTCCCTGAAGAGCAAAAGCCAAGCTGTGCCTCTGCCCCCTCTGCTCCCCTTGATGCCTTAGGATTTTAGCTTTTAAAGTTTTGAAATCCTCTACTGCATTAGTGCATAACTCCAAACTCCATGCAGAGAGTGTGTTAACTCTCTTCACATTTTGGTCAGACAGAACAATCCCTCTGAGCCTGTGATCCAAAGACACCCTACAGCCTCAGGCCCTGATAAATATAAACAAAAGTGAATTGGTGGGGGGAACAGGGGGAATATGACTTCATTACCTGAAAGTTCAATTAGAGAATTAACCCCTGATATGTTATTGGACCAAACTTATAATTGTCTGAAAACCTCGTGATCATTATCCATCTTGGGTGCAGCCTCAGAGGCTTTTGACTGTGCTGTTGGAAAGCCTTTAATAAATACCCACTTTATTCTTTTAATCTTCTCTAGCCTCTGTTCTAGGCAGCCACTCCCAGGCACCACTCTCTGCTGGGCACAGAGAGGGAGAAATGCCCTTGCCAGGAGATCTCCCCAAGCCTGACAGGAGGGCAGTGGAAATAGACTCATCCTCACAGCCTGAAGTGCTCAGAAGCAAATCCTGAGACACAAAACTCCATTAGGTCTAGAACTTAGCATCAGTCAGGCCTGAAAGTTAGTTTGTAAGCAACTAGGATATGCTAAAGCTGTAAGAAAGTAAAGGCTTACCATTCTTAATTCTGTAAAAAGGAAAAAAGAATGACATGCCAAACATCCAAATTCCCCAGCTCAGCAAACAGGTACCAGCTACTTGGCTTTCTCAAGATCACAAGGTAAATTAGGGAGAGATATGCCTTGGGGCAGCCCTTTGGCCACAAAGCAAATCTCCTTTTCCTTTAAATAAAATGACATTATTTTTTTAAATCTGGAGTGCTGGCTATCAGCATCCATTACCCTAAGAATGGACATGGACCATGGACATGGACAAGGACAGACCACCAGGTGTGTCACTGTCATATTCTCTGAAAAATCACTTCACCAGGATTTCTTCTCCTGGGAAGCTGAGAAGCCTCAGAGAAGAATGAAAATAATAATTATCTGATTGCTTCTCTTGTTTTGCTGCTTTGGAATGCGGTTGGGGATTGTTTATCCAACAGGTGAATGTTTGATTGGTTTTATGAGAATAGCTTTTACTTAATGATCAATCAGTACCAAGCTGTGTTGGACACTGAGGAGTCAGTCACAAGTTTTTAATTAGTTAAGCCTTCTGTAAGTATCCTTTCTGTATTCTTTAGTATAGTTTTAGTATAGCATTATTTTCCATAATATGTAATGTAATGTAATAATATAATATAATATAATATAATATAATATAATATAATATAATATAATATAATATAATATAATATAATNCCTGGACCTGTCCTGTCATGGTTTAAGCCCAGCCAGCAGCTGCTGCGTCCTGGAGTGACTTTTTACTGCTCTTTAATATTGTTTACTTTTTGTGCTTGTGAATGCTTTGCCTGTTAGATAAACAGGTTTTTTCCCCCTTTTTCTCCAAGGAAATCTTTCCTTTCTAGAGCAGATTCTAAACCCCTTTAGAAGTTTTCTCCCAAATTTGCCCTAAACCAGGACATGCACACTCCCTCTCTCCAGATGGGAACGGGGAAGAGAATGGGAAGGGTGGAGGTGAGAAAATCCTGGACTGAGATAAAGACAGCTTAACAGGGAAAGCAAAAGCCATAGGTGCAAGCAAAGCAAAGCAAAGCAAAGCCAGGGGTTCATTCCCCACTGCCAGGGCAGACAGGTGCTCAGCACCGCCAGGAGAGCAGGGCTCCATCCGCAGAGGGTTACCTGGGAAGAAAAACACCAGCACCCCTTTCCCTCTTTGTTCCCCCAGCTCTCCATGGGAGTATGATGGTCTGGAACATCCCTGGGGTTGGCTGTCCTGTCTGCGTCCCCTCCCAGCTCCCCAAAAAGGGCCTTGACACTCTTAAGTACTGCTCAGCAGGAAGGAAAGCATCCCTGTATGACCAACTTTGTTTCCAAAACACAATCCCATACCAGCTCCCGTGGAGGAAATTATCCCAAACACCATCCCATCCCTAAATCAGCCCCTTTTACCCTGAGCTTCTGTTCCACTCCTTTAACAACAGAGCCCAGCAAATTTAAAACTATTGGCACAAATCTTTTGTCAAAATTGCTTTCAGGTCTTATCATTTAAAAATCATCCTGGGACTCCATAGTTATTCTGGTAATCAATGTGCTCACATTGAAATATTTCCAAATTAAAAAAAACTTAAAAGTTTTTTGTTGGGCGGTTTTTTTTTTTCCCCTCATATTTTGATCACAGAACAGTGAGAAAAAACAACTTGAAAATCACCCTGAAAAAGAAATAAGGACAAGGCCATTTACAAAGTAAAATGCCTCTTCATTTGAAATCTCTCTGTTTCTCCCCCTTTACAAGGGTGAGCCTTGCACGGAGCTTTGTGGATCCAACTGTTTCACCGAAAGGAAAGTATGAGATGCTTCTTCTGAGTTCTGCCTCAGTTAACTGAATGTGTTTTAGGTCAGAAATGCTACAGAGGACACAGCTAAAGGCTTGACAAACAGATTTCATGGCTTTTCCCTTTCTGATTGCTGGTTGAGTATCGGGAACCTCGACCTGATTCAGAGCAGGGACAACATGCCCTACTCTTTTGCAGTGTGCTTCAGGGCACAAAGATCCAGTCCTTGGAGGTAAAGAAAGCAGGTTTTCAGATCCTGTTAGCCTTTCCCCCCAGCAGGTTCAGAGTGCAGCCTTAAACCTGCAGAGACAGAGTGCCCAGCTTTCCCTGGCCTTTTCAAAACAAACCAACACAACTTCCAGCTTGCTGCTCCCACCTTTTGGTGCTGGCTTGTGACAATCCTGCATGCCTAATGATTGTTGGCACTCCCCAAGCCTAGTATCCCGGGCAATAATGTTGGAGATGAGGGGGTGCTGCATGTTTGTGCTGCTCTCCACAAAGCTGATGTCCCAGCAGTGCAGCTGCTGCATTGCATCCTTCCCATTGTGTGGGGAAGCCACAGGGGCCACTGGCTTGGATTGAGCTTTGATGTCCTCTGGCTTTGCTGCCCTGGTGTCCATACCCAGAGGGTGTGAGTGTGCAGCTGAAACCACCACCACCATCTCCTGCTCCTCCTCCTGGTCTCTGGCACAGGCCCCTGTGTGCTGGGGTTAACTCTCCCTCTTGCCTCGTGCCTGCTGCTCTCTGGTTTTGTGTTGCTGAAATGGCTCCCAAGGTAGTAGAAAGTCTTTTTTTCCCAGCCCTGTGACCAAAGAAGAAGTTGAGATTCCTCAGCTCTGCTTTTCAAGGTTGTTTATTTTCTCTTTTCTGTACCATTCTTTCTCTGACCCGCTGAGGTCTGCCCAGCAGGTTGGTTTGTGGCACAGTCCCTGCCCTTGGGGTGGTGTTGGCTTTTTATACTATGAACTACATGTACTTTATTTACAATAATTTTCCAATACCTATCACCTATGTCAAACAGTCTGTCTCTACTCTAAACCAATCCAAAAGTGCCACCACCACAGCAGAAGACAGAGGACAAGGAGGAGAGGGAGACAGGACATGCCCAGATTCCTCCATCTTGCCTCCTGAACCCCCACTCTAAATCTCCAAAATTCTACTTTTTCACCCTGTGACAAATTCACTATCATTCTATTCAAACCCTTGTGGCTTCTAACTCTTCACACAAGGTTGGTAATTGTTTCCATGGGCTAAAATCAAAGGCACAGGTGTTTGTGACTCTGTGCCAAGGTTTCTGTGCCCCTTGCCAGGGTCTCCAATCACCCAGGGCAGCCAGAGGGATGTCCTGGGTCCAGACAGGCTGTTTAGGAAGTGGTGTCAATAACACAGAAAAGCTTTAAAAATAGTTTAAAAAAGCTTAACTAATAATACAGAAAAGCTTAACTGGTGCTGAGCTGAGCTCACATAGAACCAAGGCCTTGGATCCTCCTCTGGGCCCTGCCAGGGCCCTGGGGGGCACAAGGGGCTGGCAGGGGACAGAGCCAGGCCAGCTGAGCCCAGCTCACTCAGGGGACATCCCAGGCCACATGGCCTCATGATCAGCAGGAAAAGCTGGGCAAGAAGGAGGAGAGGACAGATTCAGGGCCAGCATTTGTCTCCCCAAGGTGCCAATATGGGAGCTGGACCCTGGGGATGGGTGAGCTCCTGCCTGCTCAGGGGAACTGAGGAGGGAATTCCTGCTTTGCTTTGCTTGCACATGTGGCTTTTTCTTTCTCTAATTAACTGTCTTTACCTGCAAAATCCTTTACCAGGGTTCTCCTCACTTCCATCCATGCCATTCTGTCCCCGATCCCTCCAGAGGACAATAAGTGAGGGGCTGTGTGGGGCTTAGCTAAGGGGTTAAACCTTGACACCTTGGGGAAAATGTTAAATATCTGTGTCAGGAAATACTCAAATGAAACTGCCAGCCATCCATCACAGAGAATTTATGGATGTCTCCCCTTCACACCTTAAACCTTGCATTCACTGAAGGCCACAAGATTCAGATATTATTGCCATGTATCTTACACAAGCAGGGACTCAACTAACCTGGGGTCAGGGAGTGGGGGAGCATGGAGAAGTGTCACCGTGCCCTCCTCCCATTTTTTTTTTTTTCCTCTGGAAGTATCCTAGATGCATTTTAACAAGTAGGAGCTGTCAGTATAACACCTTGCCTTCCTCACATCCTATGTGGGAATATAAAAATAACATTAATAATAAGTTGTAATTGATTATCTATTTGTTATATTAGTTAAATAATATAATTATTAAAATAATTAATTATATTATTATATAGTTAATATTTATAGTTGATATTATATTGTTATACTTATTATAATTAATTATTATTTAATTAATAATTAGAATAACAGTACAATAAGCATTTCATTTTTGATCCAGAGATCTTGGAGTGTTTCTTGAGGGACAGGAGGAACAGGACAAAGACAAGTCCTGCACTGTGGAAGGACTGTGCTGGAGTGAGCACAGCTCCTAGAGGAGCTTATCAGATCCCTGTCCTCAGCATTTGTCAGGCTACATCACAACTGATATTGTGAGATCTGGGCTCCCTCATGTAAGGGAGGACAAGAAACTCTGCAGAAGCTATTTTATCTCTTATCACCATCCAATTCTGCCACAGGAGAATTATACAGAATAATGTCCCCCCTGCAATGGGGGCAGTACAATAATAGCATGTCAACCCCAAAATCCCTGCCCTGCATTCAAGGCCCTTGCAATCAGACCTTGCCACATTTTATAGCTTCAAAATCAAGACTAAACCTGGCACTTTTCATCTTTGGGGATGTCATTGCCTTCAGTTAGCAGGTAACACCATCCCTAAGTGAGAAATTGAGGAGTCTTTGTGACTCATGTAGCAAAGGCAGAATAAACTGTCCTAAGGTTTGAGAGCAGCTTCAAATATCACTTATTTCCATCTCAATTTGTCTTCAAATTGGCTCCAGAAAGGCAGCACATCAAGGATCAATAGACTTCAAGGAAAGTGCGGGAGGCAGGGAAGAAGAGTTATGGGGAGATGATTCCCGTGTTACTTTGAGGCACATTAATATTTCTTTGGCCACAAAGCACAGATCACAGGTGAGCTGAGCTCCAAAACAAGGCAGGTTTTGCTGCAAGATGCATAACACCTGTATGAGCTGGGAGCCCTGCAGGCATTTTTAATGGGTACCAAATATTCAGTGAGAAATCAGGAAGGAAAAGTGGTTAATTTAGGACCAAAGCAGTTGGCAGAGACTCAGTATATAACACAGCAGTGCACTGTGACAAATGTAGGCAATAATGTGTATCACTCTGCAGAGTCAGAGCCAGAGACTGTAAAGACCAGGTAAGAATTAACCAAATACCAAAAAACCCCAACTGCCCCCCCCCAAAAAAAAAAACAACAACAACAAAAAAATCAAAACCAAAGAGGATGTTATCCTCCAGTAACTAATTTTTTTGGGAAAGGACTGGCTGGTTGTGCCCAGGGCTTGAGAGCAGGGCACAGTGTGGTGGCAGTGCCACAGTTCACACTTCTGTAAGAGGCTTTATCATCAGGCAACAGCACTTAATTTTGCTCTTAATAAAAAATGTCAGGAGATTAAGACCAAGCTGAAGATTCCTACTGCCATCCTGGGATTTAGAGGTTATGCTGAAATCATTAATACAACCACTATTTGAACTCTTTTGATCACCAAGTATTAAATTCATCCCTAAGTACATAAATCCTAGGAAGCAGGAAAGCAGAGCTGGTCCTTTTTCATCTGCTTTTCTCATCATTGCCAGTGCTTGTAATGTCCCTCAATCACCTCCTGAACTGCATAAAGAACCCACAGTCCCTGCCCATAAAAAGCTGTCCTAAATTATCCTAGAAGATCTGTTGGGGTTTTTTTTTATTTTTTTAATTTCAGACTCTCAGAGCATCCATGAAAATCCCAGGTGGGATTTGTTCCCTCCCTGGGGCTGCTGATGATGATTTGTGCTAGCCCAGTGAAGCAGGCTTGGCCCTGGCCCTGCTCCTTCCAGCAAGCAGGTATTTCTCAAAGCAAAGAGCCTTGATGCATTTGCAGCACCCCCAGCTGCGACAGCCCAGCAGAGGGTGAGACACATTTCATTCTTTTTTATGTTATTATTATTGTTTCTGCTCAGCCTTATTCCTGTGCTGTGGTGATAAAGAAGAAAGTTGTTTTGTTTTTTTTTTCCCTTGGGTAAAATGAGTGCCTAATATAAAACCTGCCCTCTAAAGCCAGAAGACCTCAAGCCTTTATTTATTAAACTAAAATCTCTGTTGCAAGCAGATGAGCCAGCACAGTAGTCAGGGAACCCCAACAGCAATTTCTTGTTGTTGTTTTATAAGTTCTTAACAAATATTTCTGAGTCAGACATAGGATTATGCTAATGAGCCTGCTGAGCTGACACTGCCTTTCCACAACTTTTTAAGACAATGGCCACATTTTCTTCTAAAAGCAACCCTCTCATTAACAGGAAGGCTCCAAAACACATTCTGCTTCTCACAGAGATAATTCCTCTAACTGCATTTTCTATTTGACTTCAAGCAGTATTTTAACAAAACTGTCACTCCAAAATATTATGGCATTGTTCCACAGCCTTTGTTTTCACATCCTTTTCCACCCTTAAAATGAAGATTAACATGGAACCTCTACCTGCTCTTGTGTTCTGTGTGGGTGTGTTTGAGTGCCCCTCACCACAGCTCAGGTGAGATGGCAGATCTCTCAGGAACTGGAATGGGCTTAGCAAGGCTTTGGGCTTTCATTACTCAGCCAGAATGCGGAGTCCATCAATCCCCCTGCATTGACACGCTGCTGAATTCATTGGCACATTTGACAAGGACAGCTATTACCCCGTGTTCTTCTGGCAGCTGGGCTTGAGATCAGGAATTTGTCAAATTCCCTTCACATCAGCTGCTGCAGGAACAGTTGAATAGATCAGGTGAGGACATTGCAAGATTTCTCCCCATCCCCCAATACAATCTCAACATCTGGTGATAACCTGAACCCTAAGTAAAATTATGGACTTCATGACATCAATAAGCAAGGAGCAACGCCAGAGCTGTGCTGTAAACCATCTCCTGACTGGGCTGACAAAGCATTCAGGGAGTCAGAAAACTAATTCATTATCAGGAAAGTTAGCACCTTTCAGCAGTGACTTTCTATGTGTCCTTCAAGTAATGCTTATTGCGGGGAGTATTTGAGGTTTGTCTGAGTCTGGGGATTGGTGTTTACACAAGTGTTGATCACTCAAACTTCACCTCTATTAAGATCAGGACCAAGCCTGAGTTACAGTTGGATGCGAATAGTTCAGGGCATGGAACACTGTGCTGGGAGCCTGTGCTGCTCCCTGGCCACCACTAGCCCATCTTGAGACAGTTCCTAGAGCCTCCTTCTTCATTTCCCATGGCTGCTCTCAAGAGCTTCTTCTGGCCTTTTAAGACCAGATTAGAAAGTGATGTGGTATTTTACAGAAAACAGCATGCAAGCATGCTCCTGCCCAGAGGTGGCAGAGGTTCACTGGCCTGACAGTCCTACAGGCTCCCTCCTTTAGTGATGCCTCAGGTTTTGGCTTTTATATTGTTCAGGTTCTGTCCTACTTTAGTGGGTGGGTCTGGGCTTCACATGAGGGGATGGTGAGTGTTGTAATCATATAGTTGTATATCTTATTTCTTAAGTCCATACCTTCTCTAGCTGGTTTTCTCACACCAGCTCTTCACAGCAGTGCTGTTGTTGTTGCTTCCCCATCAGGACTCCTCTCCAGCTCTCCCTGAATGCCCCACCCCCCTTTTATCCCAGCCACCTCCATGGGCTACAGCTGCTGCCCAATCACGCACATCACAGCTGCAGCCCATTTACAATAACTAGAATCAGGGCAGGGTCACTTCTACAATACAGAGATTTTTTACTGCCATACACATATTTACTCAGGTCCCTATAGGTGAGCTCTGTGCACAGAGCAGGGAGACAAAACAATTCCTGCTCCAGCTGGGCACCAAGGACAAATGATCCCAATCTCAGCCCCAGAGCACAAACNGTGAGACCAATCACAGATGCACCTGTTGCATTCCACAGCAGCAGATAATCAATGTTTACAATTTGTTCCTGAGGCCTCTCAGCTTCTCAGGAGAAAAAAATCCTAAAGGATTTTTCATAAAATGTGTCTGTGACACTTACCCTCTAGACTGATCTTTGATATTCGTAAATGAAATGCTGGGCATTAGAGGGGAAAGATCCTGGATTTGTGTGCAAAGGTAAGAACAGTAATCTAACCCTCTAGATTGATCATTGATATTCATAACCTTTAGACATGGGTAACTCTACTGCCTGGACCTGTCCTGTCGTGTTGCCCAGCCTGCAGCTGTCCCTGCACCTGAAAGCTTTGAGAGCAAGAGATTTCTTCAGAGAGAAAGCTGCACTGGGGAGGGTGGGCTGGGCACAGCAGGGATGCTGGGCTGGCTACTCGCAGGAACCTCAAGGACCATTCCAGGAGGCTGTGTCAGAGCCCTGCCCACATCCTCTCCAGCACAGGAGGACTGCCTCTCGGGGCTTGAGCTGCTCAGAGTGACTCTGAGATGCGTTAGAAAGTCTCTTTTCCCAGCCCAGCAGTTGAAGAAGAAGGCAGAGCTTTTCTATTCTAGTTCTCAAGGTTGTTTGTTGTTCCTTAGCTATAAAATTCTTTCTCTGTCCAGCTGAGGTCCATTCAGCAGGTCAGACAGAGGCCCACTGCCTGTCCCTGGGGCAGTGTTATCTTTTTATACTAAAAACTACATGTACAGTATTTACATAACTTTCCAATACCTATCACCTACGTTAGGCAGTGAGCTTCTACCTTAAACCAATCCAAAAGTGCCACCATCACAGCAGAAGATGGGGGCCAAGAAGAAGGAGGAGATGCTGGACATGCCCAGAATTCCTCCATTTTGCCCCCTGAACCTCCATTCTAAACACCCCAAAAAATCTATTTTTTACCCTGCGATAAATTCACTATCATTCTACTTAAACTTTCGTGGCTTGTAATTCTTCATATGAGGTTGGTAATTGTTTTTTTCGAAGGGCTAAATCAAAGGCACAGGGGTCTGGGGCTCTGTGCCAAGGTCTCTGAGCCCCCTGGGCAGGGGCTGGAGCCCTCCAGGGCAGCCAGAGGAATTTCCTGGGTTCCAACAAGTGCCCAGCCCAGGTGAGTGCTACATTCCTGCTGGGAAAGCCACAGGCATTGCTTTTCTCTCTGCCACAGAAAAGCAGCACTTGTGTGGGGCTGTCCCAAAATGTGTTCTATTTTAACAGGCTGTGTTGCAGAGAAAAGTACGATGGATGTAGCTGTTGTTTGAGGCTAGGGGGAGGAAAGTAAAGGGAAAAAAAATCAGAAAATTGCCTTCTCTTTTTTTGCCTTTTCACTTTTTGGGGGGCTGAGGAGTTACACTGCTCCATTTATAGCGGAGAGCTCCTTTATACCTGTGTATTTCTATATGTGTGTAAAAATGCACCACATCTTCTTTTCACTTTTGTGTGTGTGTGTGTGTGTGTGTGTGTGTACACACAGCACAAGTGCAAACCTGCTGGTGTTGTGTGCATTGACAAACATCCTCAGGTTCTGTGGGATACCCACAAACACACACACACACACACACTCTTTGAGGATGCCTTCATTGTACTCAGCCACGAGGGTTTTTAATGACAGAAGTCCAGAAGTTGAAAGAGATTTATTTTTCAGCCTCTCTGTCACTCATGAAACACCTGCTCACAGATAAATCTGTTTATTAACTCACAGTGATGATTACAGGCAGACCTCTTAGACATGACAAAAATGCTGCACTCTTCCTCACAAATGGATTTAATAAGTGCTGTGCAACTGCAAATGAGCAGGGAGAGCCCCATCCTCCACCCAGGAGAGCCAAAAGTTCTGCTTTTAACCTTGAAACTGCAGGTGAGCTGCTGCTGGGTTTTATTTGGTGAGTACAGAACCAAAACAAGAGTTTTGATACCACTTTTGGTGGAAATAGAATACATTTTGTTCTCTGATTGTTATATTTAATAATGAGAAGTAAATATACTTAATAATTAATATAAGTGTATTTAGTAATATATATAGTAAATATATTTAATAATGAGAAGTGTATCAGGTAAGCACAGCAGGATTAAAATAATTCCCTGATGAAGAGAGGCCTTCAGGAAAGGGCCAGGCTTTATTGTCTGTGAGGGTGCTGTCAGCATAAAAAATTATCATGAACTTCAACTTCAAGCAATCAAACTTCATCATATTGAAGGAGTCCCATTAAATGCTCGGATTGCTCTTCATTTGATCAATTCCTGAGGGAAGGAGAGGCTGCAGAAATCAATAGGGCATGGCTGAGGAAGGCAGGGTGTCTTGGTGGTGACTGCCAGAGGGAGTGGAGCCACCTGAGGAGGGAGCTTGTGTCACCCTGCTGGGACACAAAATGCCCAGGAGCCCTGCAAGGGATTGGAGCAGACAAGGAGTTCCAAAGACACCTGGGCTGGGGGAAATCAGGCTCAAATTTCTTTTTTCTAGAGCTGCTGTTCAGCTCCTCCTTTGGGTTTCACTGCTCCCCAGGCAGGCTGAGGGTGGCACCTGCTGTGCCATGGGGATGCTGGTGCAGCACTCACTCACTCAGGGCAGCTGGGCTGCTCACTGCTGCCTTCCTCTGCCTTCAGAGACATCCAGAGAGTGAGCCAGCCTTCAGAGCACCTGCTGATCCCTCTCTGTTTGTAGTTGCTCAAATCAAAATACTCTGCTGGTTTCAGTTTGCTGGGTTTTGTGTCTCCACTCACATTTTCTTCAGAGGAGAGAAATGAAATGTNTCATTTGCTAAGATCAGGTCATTTGCTTGTGGCCAGCAAAACCATTTTATTCAGCGCATGGACACGTGGCTACCACAAAACTCCTTCAGCAGATAATCCAAGAAAAGTGCAGTTAAAAAGGTTTTGCAACACAAAAAAATCAACAGAAAGCAATCTGGCAAGCTCAGTCCCACAGATCCTTGTAGGAAAACATTGCCCTGTGGTGGTCAGCTGTTCTGCTTCCACAGCCAGGAGCTGGTCACCTGGACAAGGTGATGCTTGCCTGCCCTGCCTCAGACCACACAAAATGGATCCCTGGACTCTTGTTCTGCCTTTCATCCCAAATAAAATTCCCTAAGCTGGGGGAAGGATGCAAGGGGAGCAGCTCTCTTATTGGTGCTACCTCTGGCTGCAAAGCTGGTAAGGGATAAGCTGCAAAAAGCTGGGAATGTGCAATGGACAGAATGCACCCCAGTTTTTGCAGGTATCTGGTGAGATCACCTCCAATTTAAAGGGATATTTTTAACAGATGATTCAATCAGCAAGCAGAGAAAGTTTCAAAAATTAAGTGCAGTTTAATGGTGAAGCATTTCCATTTCTGAGGCACTACCTTGAATTATGCAACAGTGCATCACACTAACTTTCAAGTCAAAGTGACCTTTGGTCAAAGTATATTGAAATAATCTTACTTTATAAAATATGGGTTAGGGGAAAACCCCCCAGCACCTGGCACACATAGATTTTGCCATTTCAGAAACTTGTCCTGCCAAATGAAAAAATACAGCCTTGTAGGTGTTCATTAGCAGCAGAAGTAGCATGGGGATCCATACTTACAGTTAGTGGGATCAAAATGAAATGTTAAATTACCTAAGCAAGAACTGCACTGGTAGATTTTTCTTAGAAAAAAGGATGGTCAAGTAGGCATCAGCAGGAAGATTACCTTTAAAATGTTTTACTGGAGACCTAAAATAGCTTCCCAGCTTTGTTAAAAAAAAAAATAAATTGAAAAAATAAAGGAGAGAGAAGGGGAGGGGGGAAAGAGAGAGAACATAATTTCCAAACCCTTAGCTTATTTTTAATTTATAGTCCTTGGAAAAAAAATAAGTGGATAGCCCAATCATTTATGTGCCTGGGCAAAAGCAATACATCTATATAAAAGTGCAGTGATATATTTCTGTTGCTGGTTTAATGTGCTGCTCTGTGCCCTGTGTGTTCTGATTCATTGGAGAGCAGCAATCATGTCGACAGGAGCTGTTCTTCAGCTCCCATCAGCGACAACTAAAGGCCAATTCAAGGTTGTGGTGGGGTCATGAATCTAACACACTCACTGATGGAACAATTTTCCTCCTGCATGACACTGTTGGTGGGACACAGAGGGAAAGCACAGCAGGTTTGTCTTGTTTCCTCACCCTTCCTCCCCTCTCCCCACCCCATTCGTCTTTTTTGTGTTGTTGTTTTTAATTTTTGGCGGTGATGTGCGCTGTTAACAAGGAGCCTCTGGGGAACACGGAGTCAGCAGCATGGGAAATAAGAGGAGAGGAAATTTCTGAGCATTTAGGAAGCCAGCATTGTCCTGTGGGTCCACCCCAAGACATGAATAAAGGAGAGAGCTGCTGGGCAAAACTCCACAGTGTGTTCACCTCTGCTCCACCACCCTTTGAGTCAAAAAAAGAGGCATTTTTACCCAGCTGTAACTGCACCTGAGCTGTTGTCCTCCTGTGGTATGGAAATAACAGCTGAATTTTGCCTGGCAATATTATTTTCACACATTGGTGCTCGTAGGTGTGAACTTCCACTGAGCTTGGCACAAGTTTTGCCCAAGCTGAAAACAAAAAAACAACTCCCATTATCATTTCTTCTATGTGTGCTGCTGAGAGAGCTGATCTTGGAGGCAGTGAGGGTTATTTCATTCTTGTGCCATTACCTGTCACCACAGGGCTGCTCTGGTCTGAAACAACCCTCCAGG